GGACAAAATTGGTTGGATCATGTAAAAGCTAAAAAAAAACCTGGAAACTCAGACCCTTTCCTGAGCCTTTGACTTCGCTTTCTCCACCAGTCAATCAAACGGGCCGGACACGGATCCACACCGATTCGGAAGACGAGCTCTTCAAATGGGTGAAGACTCACTGCGTATTAAACGCCTTTCAATGTCCAGCCAGCCGATCAGTATATCAGTCAATGTCAACCTATTTGGGACTATATATCAGTATAGTTCTATGTGAAAAGCATATTATATATATTTATATAATATACCAAAGACTCAAGTTGAGCAAAAAGCACGCGCGAATGAAGATTGACCGGATCGCCTTGAACATTAGCCAAACAATGTCTCAACATGTGAAATGTCTGACATTGTCTGACATTGTCTGACATCAACACATCAACCAAATTATGCACAGTTTGGAGTCTCAATAAAGTACCTCGGAAAAGAGGTACTTCAACCGAGTCACGAGTTGGTCGATGGGGACATACATGTCCTGCAAACAGGGGTACATGGAGGAACATCAGGGTTTGAACCCACATCCCCCCAAAGGCAGAACATGTCTTTGGGATCCGTACCTTTATCCGGCGAGACTCCTAAAGTTAATATATATATATATATACGTATCGAAAAATAATGCAACAAAAGAACAAAAACATCGTGTAGTTTTCCGCATATGTTTATTTTTCCCGAATGCGTAGCGAAGGGTTCTCGTTTAACTCTGGGGGTCTGGGGGTAGAGCCTTGTTCGCGACCCGTTGTTTCTATGTTCGCAACCGTCCGCAACCGTTCGCAACCGTCCGCAGTAGAGCGCTAAGGCGCTGCCATTGGGGGAAGCTTTTGGAGAGGGTTTCGGATGAAAACGTGACGTGTCAGATTCGTGTGAAATAGCGAGGAACGGAAATGTATGATGTTGAAGTGTGGAGGATGATTTCACCAGCGTTTTGTGAGATCTGCAGTTTGCTGCGCAGTTCCATTCGGATTAGCGTTTGGAGAGTCGTGCTTTGGGGGTGTTGGATGTGGCCGTGCCATTGGGGCTTGCGTTTCAGGGTGTGGCATCGAAGCTCTGTTTTCGTGACAAGTCTCAGCTGAAATGACGATTTTGGTGGATGGGAGTGTGCTCAGAACGGATCGAAATCATTCCAAACGCGTGGTGTGGTGCAAATTTTGTTGAAGCTCACATGAGATGACATTGTCACTTTTCGTGGCAGGCGCAGTACTTTGTGCGGGCTTTGAGGTGTGGACGTGCGATTTTCGTGGCAGGCGCAGGGAGTCGTGAGGTTGCGAGGTGTGACGGAGGTGACATTTCGTGGCAGGCGCAGTACTTTGTGCGTGTCAGACGTGTGGACGCGGAAACATTCGCGGCAGGCGCAGGGAATCGTGAGGTTGTGAGTTGTGGTAGAGGTGAATGTGGCTGTCACATTGGGATTGGCGTGTGAGCGGGCGTTGTTTGGAGGGGCTGGAATTGCGAAACTGCTTGGCAGGGCTGCGTGATGTGTGTGCTCCGATGGGTGTTTCCGCTTGACTTTTGGAGGAAGTCTCGTACGAAACGCTCGTTTTGCAGACTTTGACATGTGACTTTTTGAGGAAGTCTTGTACGAAACGCTCGTTTTGGAGACTTGACGTGTGACTTTTGGAGGAAGTCTCGTACGAAACGCTCGTTTTGGAGACTTGACGTGTGATATTTTGAGGAAGTCTCGTACGAAACGCTCGTTTTGGCTTGACGTGTGACTTTTGGAGGAGGTCTCGTACGAAACGCTCGTCTTGCAGCCTCGAAGCATGTGTCCTACAAGACTGTCCCAGATAGAGTGTCCCACAAGAGTGTCCCGTATGAGTGTCCCACAAGAGTGTCCCACAAGAGTGCCCGTCTCACAAGAGCGTCCCTTAAGAGTGTCCCACAAGAGTGTCCTATAAGAGTGTCCCGCAAGAGATCACAAGAGTGTCCTACAAGAGTGTCCCACAAGAGTGCCCTACAAGAGTGTCCCACAAGAGTGTCTCACAAGAGTGTCCCGCAAGAGTGTCCTACGAGAGTATCCCACAAGAGTTTCCCACAAGAGTGTCCCACAAGAGTGTCCTACAAGAGTGTCCCACAAGAGTGTCCCACAAGAGTGTCCCACAAGAGT